TTTCACCACCAAAAAATAAAAACTAGTCAGCCCCGGTGATTTTTTAAACTAGGGTCTCTTAAGGTCGAAAAAATAAGTATTTTATATTACAACGTTTATATAATATTAGGGGAAAACTTCGAAATCCACTTTTTGGCATTTCCTGGCAATATTTTTGCTGGATGTCAAAAGGAAATCTAATCGATTCTTGAAATCGAAAAAACATATATTTTTTTTTTAAGTGTTTCTAATTTAATCTTAGGGGAAAACTTCGAAATCCAATTTTTAGCAATATCTTAATTATATGTTAAACGGAAAACTAATCGATTTTGAAACAGTTTTTTTTTTAAATATATTAGGGCTGGTAATTTAATATTAGAGGAAACATTTCGAAATCCGGTTTTTGTTTTTATTTTTGTTACTACAATTTAAAAGGAAATCGAATCGATTTCAAAAAAGAAAAATAATATTTTATATTAGGATTTTTTAATGTAATATTAGGGGAAAACTTCAAAATCCAATTTTTGACCATATTCTAATTAGATTTCAAAAGGAAATCTAATGAATTTTGATATAGAAAAAATAGTCTTTGATATGAGGGTTTAATATGAGGGGAAAGCTTCGAAATCCAATTTCTGGCAATAACTTAATTTGAATTTACAAGGAAATCTAATCGATTCTGAAATAGAACAAATTTAGTTTTTTATATTGGAATTTTTCATGCAAAATTAGGGGAAGCATCGAAATCCAATTTTTGAACATATTTTAATAATTGGATTTTAATTTGATATTAGGGGGAAAGCTTCAAAATCATTTTTTTCATTAGATTTCAAAAGGAAATCTAATCGATTTTGAAACAGGAAAAAAACAAAATGATATTAGGGTTTAATATAAGGGAAAAGCTTCGACATCCAATTTTTTGGCCATATTTTATTTAATTTTTAAAAGGAAATCTAATCGATTTCGAAATAGAAAAACATACATAGTTTTTTATGTTGGGGGTTTTTATTTGATATTAAGCTTCGGAATCCACTTGTTTGCCATATTTTAATTGGATTTAAAAAGAAAGAAATCTGATCGATTTTGAAATAGAAATATGTCTATATATTTATATAAATATATATATATGTGTGTTTTTTTATCAGTATTAGAGGGAAGCTTCGTACCCTAATACTAAAGACCCCCCCAATACTAAAAACTCCTCCAGGTGTTTGTTATTTGGGTGGGTGGGTGAAGGGGCGACTGTTTAGCAACAGGGGGAAGGGATTAAACCGTTTTTTGTTTCTAATTTCAAAATCCATGAAAATAATCTTTAAATAGAATACTGCCAAGAATAGGATTTCGAAGCTTTCGCCTAGTATCAAATAAAACACCAACACCTGAATTAAAAAAACTAAAATTGACGATTTTAAAGGACGGACCCCAATAAAAGACACCCCGGTGTTGACTAGTTTTTTATTCTTTGGGGGTGAAACCCTCACATGGTACCTTCATTTTTAAAATTGTTTCCTCAAGGGGATCAATTAAAAATCAGATTAACCAATTTGACATTTCCCAAAATTGGAAATCGCACCTAGTTTTTGTCATTTGGGGGTATTTTTCGTAATAGGGAGAAAGGATTAGCAAAAAGAATGCCTGATCAAAATGATGCTGATTCTGTGTGTTACAATCTTTTTGCCCACTACAGTGTCTACAGGGTTACAAGGGATGCCGTGCCAGCTAGAGTCCCAAGTCCATTCAACCAACACCCTAATCGATGAAGTTGGACTTGTTGAAATGGAAGTGGGACTGGACCAGTTGACATGGGGCGATGCTGACCTTCAACGGGAGCTTCGGCGCCTGAAGGACAACAGTTTGAAAATTCCGAACCTGAAATATATTTTCAAAATTGCCTTACTAAGAGTGATCCCCACCCTGACACACTATTCTGACATAGTTTCTGACATATCATCTGGACGTATATGTGGCATATATGTTCTGACATACTATCTTACATTCTTTTCTGAGATTCTATTTGACCTTCTTTCTGGCATCCTATCTGGCATCTATTCTGACATACTTTCTGGAATATACTATATTCTGATCCTGCCTTGCCATGAGTTTGGGCTGGGAGTTCTTTTATTTGCGTGGATCAATGCCAATGGCTTGAATATCCACCAAATGTTGGTTTCACATGTTTGCACCCAATGATTGCCATTACCATTGATACCCCAAAATGGCCAGGTCCTGAATTTGAGAGTAGGTCCTGAAAAGTTTTCTGGGTACTGAAAAAACAGGACTTTGGCACAGGGTCTGAAAAAAGACGTAGGTGGAAGATTCAGGTATGCTGTTGGGTTGCAAAGCTGGGTTAATTGTATATGTATATATATATAATTATATATACATATATTCACAGACAATCCTAGTTAAAACATGGCAAGTTCGCGGTCATCTTCAATTTAACCGTGGATGGACTTCGGAGCGCCGGGCGATCCCATAGACCTGGAGGCTTCAAGACAAACCCAGAAATGAATCGAACACCAACCTGGAAAGGTATGGAAAATCGCCATTTTATAGCTGGGTAAATCCACTCTACATGGCAATTTTCAATAGCTATGTATGTTTACCAGAGGGTAAACTGGAAAGGTAAAGATGATAGATATCCTCACCCGCTTTGACCGCTGCGACATCAGTGGATTCCCTTTGAGGCGGCTCAGCGTTGCATCAGCCAGGCCCAGTTTCCGGGTGTTTGGTTTTCGGCAGCCAGGCTTTTTTCACATCACCATATAGGAGCCTGGGATTTTATGGCAAGGATGCCGTAAAAACCAAGCAAGGACATTCCAAACATCGCCAAAACATGATCTAACCATTCATAGTGGGCATAGCAATCTGATGCGCGTGATATATATATATATAGCGCGTGATATATACATATATATATATATACATATATATATATACATATATATATACATACATACATATATTACGAAAGCCAGCTAGCTGGCTAGTTGCTGTTTGCGAACGAAGTGAGAATAGGGGGTGTGGGGGGGGGTGGTTGCCGAAAGGGAACGAAATCTCGCCGTGCCCCTGTGTTGAGCGCGAGAAAACGGAGCATTTTGCTGGATTATGTACCACTAGGCAATTTGCTGACGGTGGGGTATCGATTCCCCCTAGGTCCGCCTTTTTGGTGGCCGGAGAGACCATGAGGATGCATTGGAAAATACAATGAAACTGCAGGAAAACATGATAACAATCAGAGGAAATCGTACAAAATCCCCTTGAAAACGGACGAAAACGGAGCGAATGCTAGGAACAAACCATGGAAAATCCCTTGGAAAATGGAGGAAACCGGAGCGAATGCTAGGCGCAAACCATGACGATGCAGTAAACATGCTGGAAAAATACAGTGAAAGCGCAGGAAAATGTGATAACAACGAGAGGAAATGGTGCAAAAAGGATCGGAAAATGAAGGAGACAGGTAAAACTCTTGGATTAATATTCATATTGAAAAGGCATGAAAAACTAACACAATGTATATATAATTAATTCCCAACAGCAGGGCCTGTTGGGTTTCAATCTCTAGGGCTGGGGCTGGCTCGCGGGGACTTGCAGCCTTCAAAATCCGGAATGGAACCCTGGAACCGTTGGAACCCTTGGAACCCTGGAAACCTTGGAACCCCGGAACCCTGGAACTCTGGAACCCTCTAACCCTGGAACCCTGAAACCTTGGAACCCCGGAACCCTGGAACCCTGGAACCTTGGAACCCCGGAACCCTGGAACCCTGAAACCCTGGAATCTTGGAACCCTGCGACCGTGGAACCCTGAAACCTTGGAACCTTGGCACCCTGGAACCCTCAAGGATTCTGGAACCCTGCTACCTTGGAACCCTGGAACCTTGGAACCCTGCAACCCTGCACACCTAGCACCCTGCTGGGATCCTAGAACCCTGAAACCCTGGAACCCTTGGAACCGTTGGAACCCTTGGAACCCTGGAAACCTTGGAACCCTGAAAGCGTGGGACCCTGGTACCCTGGAACCCTGAAACCTTGGAACCCCGGAACCCTGGAACCCTGGAACCCTGGAACCCCGGAACCCTGGAACCCCGAAACCCTGGAACCTTGGAACCCTGCGACCGTGGAACCCTGAAACCTTGGAACCTTGGCACACAGGAACCCTCAAGGATTCTGGAACCCCGCTACCTTGGAACCCTGGAACCTTGGAACCCTGCAACCCTGCACACCTGGCACCCTGCTGGGATCCTGGAACCCTTGGAACCCTTGGAACCCTGGAAACCTTGGAACCCTGAAACCGTGGGACCCTGGTACCCTGGAACCTTGGAACCCTTGAAACCCTAAAACTTCCAAACCCTAAACTCTATGCGCGCTGCGCGCGCTGCATGCAATAAAGTAAACCCTAAAACTTCCAAACCCGAAACCCTAATGCGCGGTGCGCGCGCTGTGTCCCAGAGAAGTAAACCCTAAAATTTCCAAACCCTAAACCATCGTGTTATGCAACTTCCAAACCCTAAAGTTTAACCCGCGGTGTGCGCGCTGCATGCAATAAAATAAACCCTAAAACTTCCAAACCCTAAACCCTAATGCGTGCTGTGCGCGCTGCGTGCCAGAGATAAACCCTAAAACCTTCAAACCCTAAACACTAATGCGCGCTGCGCGCGCTTTGTGCAATAGAAATAAACCCTAAAATCTTCAAACCTGAAACTCTCGTGTCATAGAGGTAAACCCTAAAATTTCCAAACCCTAAACCCTAAACCCTAACGCGCGCTGCGCGCGCTGTGTGCCATAGAAGTACCCCTTAAAATCTCCAAACCCTAAACCATCGTGTCATGGAGGTTAACCCTAAAACTTCGAAACCCTAAAGTTCAACCCACGCTGTGCACGCTGCATGCAATAAAATAAACTATAAAACTTCCAAACCCTAAACCCTAATGCGCGCTGCGCGCACTGCGTGCCACACACATAAACCCTAAAACTTTCAAACTTTAAACCGTAACGCGTACTGCGCGCACAGCCTGCCATAGAGGTAAACGGTTAAACTTTCAAACGCTGCGTGCCATAGAGGCAAAGCCTAAAACTTTCAAACGCTAAACCGTAAAGCAGGCTGCGCGCGCTGCGTGCCATAGAGTGCTCCCCAAAAGTGATTACATGTCATACTTTAGTGGAATCCTCCAAATTCATTAGTCAGCCTTTGTTAATCCAGGGCCCATTTTACACATGTCATCTTCTTGGTCGTGGCGCCATTTCAGGATCACACTGATGACCTAAGCTTTGGCCTTAACTATTATGCAGGCAAGCGACATCAGCACGCTATGGTATTGGAAGACACAGGGTTTGCCCGTAGACCAGCCAAAAAATCGATTTTCCACACTGAACAATTGGATTTAACACATTTAGAATAGGAGCTCCGCCTGATTCAGATTTCATCACTTAAAAGGTACCCATGCCTGACTAGCCTTCATGACTTAAAGCGTAACCACACCCGACTTAAGGGAACCATGCCTGACTAGCCTTCATAATTAAGAGGTACCCACCCACGCCTGACGACTTAACAGAACCCATGCCTGACTAGCCTTCATAATTAAAAGGTACCCATGCCCCTGAATTCAGGGAACCATGCCTGACTAGCCTTCACAATTAAAAGGTACCCACTGGAACCATGCCTGACTAGCCTTAATGACTTAAAAGGTAACTACACCTGACTTAATACCTGATTTACTGGTTTTGCCTGATTTTGGAAAAACGCAGGGCCGGAATTTTGCAGGGCGCGGGCCGGAATTTGCCGGGCCCGGGCCGGAATTTGCCGGGCTGGGATTTTGGGGTTGTGCCTAAATAGGATTTTTGCAAAAATCGTGCATGACTGAAGGGAACCATGCCTGACTAAACATCATACCAATCATCCCAAAAGAATCCAATAATTCCAGCAAGTGATGCCTGACCAATCCCTGCGTCATAATAAACCGTCTGCCCCTCCCCACCCAATAATGAACACACGGAATAGTTTTTTGTATTTAGTGGGTATTTAGTATGAGGGTGCGAAACTTCCCCCTTGGTTAAAAAAACTAAATTGGAAAACATTTTTTAAATAACATCTAACTAAAATATTGCCAAAATTGGATTCCGAAGCTTCCCCCTGACATTAAATTGAAAACATTCGTTTAAAAAATGAACTTTATATTTCAAAACCGATTGAATTCCTATTCAAAATCTAACTCAAATCTTGCCAAATTGGATTTCGAAGCTTCCCCTTATATTAAATTGAAAACCTTACTAATCCCCACCTCCTTTTACTAAACGTACCCTAAATACTAAAATATTACATTGATTCCTTTTACTAGGGTCCGCGTTAAATTTTGGGAAATTTCAGGCTGGCCAGTTTGACTTTTAATTGATACCTTTTCAAAAACAAATTAAACATGAAGGTCCCATTTCAGGGATTTCACCACCAAAAAATAAAAACTAGTCAGCCCCGGTGATTTTTTAAACTAGGGTCTTTTAAGGTCGAAAAAATAAGTATTTTATATTACAACGTTTATATAATATTGGGGGAAAACTTCGAAATCCACTTTTTGGCATTTCCTGGCAATATTTTTGCTGGATGTCAAAAGGAAATCTAATCGATTCTTGAAATCGAAAAAACATAGTTTTTTTTATTAGTGTTTTTAATTTAATCTTAGGGGAAAACTTCGAAATCCAATTTTTAGCAATATCTTAATTATATGTTAAACAGAAAACTAATCGATTTTGAAACAGTTTTTTTTTAAATATATTAGGGCTGGTAATTTAATATTAGAGGAAACATTTCGAAATCCGGTTTTTGTTTTTATTTTTGTTACTACAATTTAAAAGGAAATCGAATCGATTTCAAAAAGAAAAAATAATATTTTATATTAGGGGTTTTTAATGTAATATTAGGGGAAAACTTCAAAATCCAATTTTTGACCATATTCTAATTAGATTTCAAAAGGAAATCTAATGAATTTTGATATAGAAAAAATAGTCTTTGATATGAGGGTTTAATATTAGGGGAAAGCTTCGAAATCCAATTTCTGGCAATATCTTAATTTGAATTTACAAGGAAATCTAATCGATTCTGAAATAGAACAAATTTAGTTTTTTATATTGGAATTTTTCATGCAAGATTAGGGGAAGCATCGAAATCGAATTTTTGAACATATTTTAATAATTGGATTTTAATTTGATATTAGGGGAAAGCTTCAAAATCATTTTTTTGTTTTTTTCATTAGATTTCAAAAGGAAATCTAATCGATTTTGAAACAAGAAAAAAAACAAAATGATATTAGGGTTTAATATAAGGGAAAAGCTTCGACATCCAATTTTTTGGCCATATTTTATTTAATTTTTAAAAGGAAATCTAATCGATTTCGAAATAGAAACACATACATAGTTTTTTATGTTGGGGGTTTTTATTTGATATTAAGCTTCGGAATCCACTTGTTTGCCATATTTTAATTGGGTTTAAAAAGAAAGAAATCTGATCGATTTTGAAATAGAAATATGTGTATATATATCTATATATGTGTGTGTTTTTTATCAGTATTAGGGGGAAGCTTCGTACCCTAATACTAAAGACCCCCCAATACTAAAAACTCCTCCAGGTGTTTGTTATTTGGGTGGGTGGGTGAAGGGGCGACTGTTTAGCAACAGGGGGAAGGGATTAAACCGTGTTTTGTTTCTAATTTCAAAATCCATGAAAATAATCTTTAAATAGAATACTGCCAAGAATAGGATTTCGAAGCTTTCGCCTAGTATCAAATAAAACACCAACACCTGAATTAAAAAAAACTAAAATTGACGATTTTAAAGGACGGACCCCAATAAAAGACACCCCGGTGTTGACTAGTTTTTTATTCTTTGGGGGTGAAACCCTCACATGGTACCTTCATTTTTAAAATTGTTTTCTCAACGGGATCAATTAAAAATCAGATTAACCAATTTGACATTAAAGGATTAGCAAAAAGAATGCCTGATCAAAATGATGCTGATTCTGTGTGTTACAATCTTTTTGCCCACTACAGTGTCTACAGGGTTACAAGGGATGCCGTGCCAGCTAGAGTCCCAAGTCCATTCAACCAACACCCAAATCGATGAAGTTGGACTTGTTGAAATGGAAGTGGGACTGGACTAGTTGACATGGGGCGATGCTGACCTTCAACGGGAGCTTCGGCGCCTGAAGGACAACAGTTTGAAAATTCCGAACCTGAAATATATTTTCAAAATTGCCTTACTAAGAGTGATCCCCACCCTGACACACTATTCTGACATAGTTTCTGACATATATCTGGACGTATATGTGGCATATATGTTCTGACATACTATCTTACATTCTTTTCTGAGATTCTATTTGACATTCTTTCTGGCATCCTATCTGGCATCTATTCTGACATACTTTCTGGAATATACTATATTCTGATCCTGCCTTGCCATGAGTTTGGGCTGGGAGTTCTTTTATTTGCGTGGATCAATGCCAATGGCTTGAATATCCACCAAATGTTGGTTTCACATGTTTGCACCCAATGATTGCCATTACCATTGATACCCCAAAATGGCCAGGTCCTGAATTTGAGAGTAGGTCCTGAAAAGTTTTCTGGGTACTGAAAAAACAGGACTTTGGCACAGGGTCTGAAAAAAGACGTAGGTGGAAGATTCAGGTATGCTGTTGGGTTGCAAAGCTGGGTTAATTGTATATGTATATATATATAATTATATATACATATATTCACAGACAATCCTAGTTAAAACATGGCAAGTTCGCGGTCATCTTCAATTTAACCGTGGATGGACTTCGGAGCGCCGGGCGATCCCATAGACCTGGAGGCTTCAAGACAAACCCAGAAATGAATCGAACACCAACCTGGAAAGGTATGGAAAATCGCCATTTTATAGCTGGGTAAATCCACTCTACATGGCAATTTTCAATAGCTATGTATGTTTACCAGAGGGTAAACTGGAAAGGTAAAGATGATAGATATCCTCACCCGCTTTGACCGCTGCGACATCAGTGGATTCCCTTTGAGGCGGCTCAGCGTTGCATCAGCCAGGCCCAGTTTCCGGGTGTTTGGTTTTCGGCAGCCAGGCTTTTTTCACATCACCATATAGGAGCCTGGGATTTTATGGCAAGGATGCCGTAAAAACCAAGCAAGGACATTCCAAACATCGCCAAAACATGATCTAACCATTCATAGTGGGCATAGCAATCTGATGCGCGTGATATATATATATATAGCGCGTGATATATACATATATATATATATACATATATATATATACATATATATATACATACATACATATATTACGAAAGCCAGCTAGCTGGCTAGTTGCTGTTTGCGAACGAAGTGAGAATAGGGGGTGTGGGGGGGGGTGGTTGCCGAAAGGGAACGAAATCTCGCCGTGCCCCTGTGTTGAGCGCGAGAAAACGGAGCATTTTGCTGGATTATGTACCACTAGGCAATTTGCTGACGGTGGGGTATCGATTCCCCCTAGGTCCGCCTTTTTGGTGGCCGGAGAGACCATGAGGATGTATTGGAAAATACAATGAAACTGCAGGAAAACATGATAACGATCAGAGGAAATCGTACAAATTCCCCTGGAAAACGGACGAAAACGGAGCGAATGCTAGGAACAAACCATGGAAAATCCCTTGGAAAATGGAGGAAACCGGAGCGAATGCTAGGCGCAAACCATGACGATGCAGTAAACATGCTGGAAAAATACAGTGAAAGTGTAGGAAAATGTGATAACAACGAGAGGAAAGGGTGCAAAAAGGATCGGAAAATGAAGGAGTCAGGTAAAACTCTTGGATTAATATTAATATTGAAAAGGTATGAAAATGCAGGAAACCAGAGGAAATGGTGCAAACACCTATGGGGGAAAGAGGTGAAAATGATAGGACACATGTAGTAAAAAATGCTGGACAAAACATATTGAAAACCCACGAAGAGGATGTATTGGAAAATACAATAAAACTTGAGGAAAACATGATAACGATCAGAGGAAAATGCTAGGAACAAACCATGCAAAATCTGTTGGAACATGGAGGAAACCGGAGTGACTGCTAGGAACAAACTATGACGATGCAGAAAACATGTTGGAAAAAGACAGTGAAAGTGCAGGAAAATGCGATAACAACCAGAGGAAATGGTGCAAAAACGATCGGAAAAATCAAGGAGACGGGTAAAACTCTTGGAACAATACATTGAAAATGCAGCAAACCAGAGGAAATGGTGCAAAAGGGAGACGGGTAAAAATATTGGAAAAATAGATTAAAAATGCATGAATAGACTGAAAACCCACGAAGAGGATATAGATGATATAGAAACTGCAGGAAAACATGATAACAATCAGAGGAAATCGTGCAAAATCCACTGGAAAATGCCGGAAAGATACAGTGAAGGAAATGTGATAACAACCTGGCAGGAAAATGTGATAACAACCAGAATAAAGGGTGCAAAATCCCTTGGAACATGGAGGAAACCCGGAGCGACTGCTAGGAACAAACTATGACGATGCAGTAAACATGTTGGAAAAATACAGTGAAAGTGCAGGAAAATGCGATAACAACCAGAGGAAATGGTGCAAAAACGATCGGAAACTGAAGGAGACGGGTAAAACTCTTGGAAACATATATTGAAAATGCATGAAATGCAGGAAACGAGAGGAAATGGTACAAAAAGCCATAGAGGAAAGCGGTGAAAATGGTAGGAAGCATGTAATACAAAAAATTGGACAAAACACAGTGAAAACCTACAAAAGAGAAGAAAGTAACCACAGGAAACGGTAGAAAAAGCAGTGGAAACTGGAAGAAAAGTTGTGACAATATTAGGAAAACGGTGTACAAGCTAGGAAATGCTTGTAACAACTAGAGGAAACGATGTAGAAAACAGTACAACATGGAGGACACGCGTGAACATGCTAGGAGGCAGGAAACATGTTAGAAAAATACAGTGAAAGCCTAGGAAAATGTTATAACTAAAAATGCTTTAAAAATATAGTGAAAACCAAGACAATGTTAACGAGCGGAAACGTTGAGCAGGAAATCCGATTTGGTTTCTGTAGATAATGTTAGATGATGAGCAATGTAGTTTGGTAATAGGAAATAGTGGCTGACTCGCGTACAAGACATTGCCATGAAACCTTGGAGCAAGATGCGGATGGTATAGGAAAAAAGATGTATGAGTTGTAAGATTTTAGGAGTTGCATGGGAAAATTGGTTTCATGGTAATCTGTGTGAAGTTAGAAAAGTGTGATTGCGTTCACAGAGTAAGAAAAATAAATACAACCTGCAGATTAGAGTATTTATAATGCTTAAAACTGTTTGATGTTTTTTGGTGCCTCCCTGATTCTGGTAGTTTTGTGATAAGAACTACAAAAGCGATCTACTGGTAAACGGAAGGAATAGTCTTTCCGGTTTAGAACTGAGTCGACTGTCAAGTGATGCATAGGCTCCAGGCCTCTGGTTATTGTCACAAAGCATTGGAATGAAGATTGCGCCCAGGAGCCACCTAGGTTAGGAGACAAATGCTGTAATATCACTGTAAGAGGCCGTACTGAGAAGGCTGAAACGGAACTAAAAGTGAATCTTGTACTAAAACATCGAGAAAGAATTTGAATCTTCTAATGGCAATGACGGGAATGATATGCATCTGTACGTCCGTGATAGTATGTGTGCCTTTTAAAAGGGATGTTTGGCGAGTGTGATAGCTGAGAAGATTTTCCGGGATGCCAAACAATTATCTCTATCGATGTCAGGGATGATGCTATTCCGCGACATTTCCTGTAAAATACCTATTTTCCAGACCCTTGGGGGGTGGGGGGGGGGTACCCAGGTCTGTAAATGGCCTAAATATATATACTTTTGATTTGGACTGCATGTTCGCCACTGTTCTATATTTCCCGTGGGTTTTGCATTGTTTTCCTCGATTTTCATTCGTTCTTATACCCTTCTTACGTATGTTATAATATTGTCTTGGGTTTGCACTGCCCATTTTGCGAGTAGAGCTATGTTTTGATTTCTCACCGTACGGCCAAAATGTTGCGGAACTTCGCGGAGAAGCATGGACCACGATTCTGGGGAGAAAACAATTTAGACTTTGAGAGGTCACATGACCACTGTTCACACAAAAAAAACGGGTATTATTTATCTACAATAGGTGGGAGCAAACTTGCGCTGTTTTAAGATAAATGAGCAACCAAAGGCGGATTTACGGAACTTGAGATAGAACTTTTCACAATGCCGCAGTACATTGTAGGAAACATATTTGGATATAGAAGTTACAAAATCGTGGAGTTTACCCTAAAAAGGTCCATTTAATGATTGGAAAATTATGACCCGATAGCAATTGTTGATGTTGGGGCGCTTCATGTTTGAGCCATGCCATACGGATGAGGTGGAGTTTCACGCGCCCCCGCGCGAGTCAAAAAGCAAGCGCTGGCTTTCGTTCCACCCCTTCTCAGGTTATATATATATACATACATACATATATTATATATATATATATACATACATACATATATATATATATACATATATATATATATATTTAAGTGACAAATGAATCAAATGAACATCAGATTGGTGCGACCCCGCTTGTTTTACTGGATAGCCTGTGGCATAACAAAAAACCCGTGAAGAAACGGCTGCGGCCTAGCACAGTTGGACCAGCATGGCATCTCCACATCTCGGGAGGATGGAATTCTCCATGGCGCGACCCATGAGTGGTGAAGTTGTTGTGTAAGCACCGCTGTTTGTTAAACATGCCATGGGACTTCCCATGACTTCCTCTGAAAAACATGTTCTGCCAGGAGTGAATCAAAGACATTTCCCCATTGAAAGATGATTTCCTTGAATTATTCATGCACATCTAATGTGATTACAATCATTAAAAAACAACCAGTCATCACCATAAATCACAATTTTTTATGGGTATAAACTGTATAAACCATCAAAAATGGGGTGGTTTATTAAAAATTTATTGTTTTACCCACATCTTTGAGGGGATTTCTAGGGCCACCTGGCATCCGGCAGGCTACACCAGCTCCCCCGTGGCCTATCCAGGCGACTTGGGTTTCAATGGTTTTCAATGGATCATCGAAATCATTGAAAATGGTGAAGTCTGGTTTTGAATGTGTTTTTTTTTTTGAGAATTTTCAATTTCAATGGATCATCATCATTCTTAACCAACGTTTTACCATAGAATGTGCTGGTTGGGAGGTGCATTTCTCCGATTTTTTTTCTAACGAGGTTGTGTGAAGCTCCAGCGTCTCTGGCAGAACTAAGAGGAACGTGGAGGTTTCCTGAAATAGGGCTACCCCTCGTTATCATCCATTTTATTTTCGGATTTTCCCTTATAAACCATCCATTTTAGGGTGCCCTGGGTATTTTTTTAGGGAACCCCCTTTTTGGGCCATGCCAAAACGCCCAACCAGGTCAGCTACTGCTGTCGGGAGCTCCCGTGATTGTGCCAGGCTGATGATGTCATGTCGGAAAGGAAACATCGAAGGGTTCACCAAATGATGGGTTTATGTTGGTTTATAACTAGGCTAACTCTTGGATGTAGAAAATGTGATGTATCTACAGCTTCTCTGTGGCAAAACTGACGATTTTTGTTGGCTAGAGGAAGCATCCTGCACTGTGGCAGTGTTGAGGCTTGTTAAATTCTTGGGATACATTGGGGACGCCAATGAGATCACTCATGCGGCCAATTTAATGCCCAGCTGCGAAAGATAAAAAACTTTGGGGGATCTCCGTCGATGGCGCAGGACCTGCTGCTGCCATGGGTGGAAGTGGGGAGCCACAGCGAAAATTGTGAGGCTGACTGTTGGTTTGGGAGTGTCGTTTTTCAAAAACCGTGTTTCTTTTGAAAACCTTCATACGACTTTTCAATCATGACTTTTGAGGTTTCGTGCTTTTTGCAGAGGGTTCATAACTTTGATATTTTCTGTATCTTCCTGTTCACCTGTTTTTGTATGGTGACTTTGGCACCAATCTTGGCGTTTTTTGTTGGACCCAGGCACACCCTTGAGCCCTGTGCCTGCTGCCTTTATGTCAGGCCTGGAACAGATCGCCAGTTGGGAGATGGGACACCTTTCCGCTGATGATGGCGCAGCAAAATAAAGAATGATAGGTCATATAGTGCGAGGTATGGGTTAACGCCGTAAATGAACAGTGTTAAAAATTCCTGTTAGTTCATTTTTTTCAAGGGGGTTACAGTACCCAATATCTTGGGGACTCTCGTAATCCATCGTGGGGAACCCTATTATATATAATATATATATATACATAACCAACCAGTATTTCATGGAATGACACTGGTGGATTTCAACACTGCTCAAATGACGCCAAAAGTTGATTTATCTGCATCCCAACATGACGACCATGCAGCAATGCAGCAACCATGCAGCAGAAGTTCAAAGGCTGTTGCGTGACTCTGAATTCTTTGATATTTTCGAAGTATTCTTTCTTACAGGTACAGGGTAGGCTTGTGAATGATACTGATCTTTAGGATTATTTATGTATGTTCAGAATTTATATCTATTGACTATATATATATATTTGACCAGCCACACCCAAAGATCTGGAAGAACTCCCCTGAAATCACAGCATTTCTTCAGCCACGCCAGGCCATTCAATGCCAGGAACACCCATGCCGGTGGTCCCACACGTGACTTGATGACAATGATATGCCTGGGTCCAACCTGTAACATCTTAAATCTCTAGGGGATACCAAAAGCATGAATAGAAACTAAGGCTTTAGATGTTGGCTTTGGGGATTTTCATAGGAAGCGAGAGCCTGTTCAATTCAAAACCAACATGGGGTTGGTTTGACATGCAAAAGTCATGCATTTTTCTCTCGAGGTTCATACTTCCATTGAACAAGCACCCAAGGCAGATGGTAAGAAATACCCTCTGGTAAACTAACGTAACTATGGAAAATCACAATTTTTAATGGGTAAATCCACTATAAATGGCCATTTTCAATAGCTATGTTAGTTTACCAGAGAGTAGACTCCCTCTATTCCTCTATTCTTCCAAAAACGAGACATCATACTTCCAGTGGAATTCTTGAAGAATTGCGTTCTATCTATTTCGATTAAAAAACTTAGGGCTGTACAAGTACAACGAGTGAATGTTCCAGTTGTTGGTGGTTTCAAACATGAAAGGCGCCAAAGGTGGCCGCACCTTTGACGGTTGATCGCTGGTGAACATCTGCCATCTTTGTCGATGGAGCATGTGTTGGTTGGTGATCCACTTTTATTTGACCATATTTACCAAATCGCTTTTAGATAAATGCACATTTTGCTTGGTGATATCCATGTTATTTCAATATTGAAAACATCAATTTTTTCCTGTCGGAGTTTTTTGGATGAGCCAAGTTTGCTTGGAGGGTAAAGCCATCACCATGATTGAATATTAACTGTGGATGGTTGCGAAATCCTGCGTTGGTAGATGGTAAACATCCCATTTTTAAATCCCATTTTTACAAAACAAGTTACTAACTGGTGCAGGATTTCGCAACCATCCACCGTATCATTATCAACTAACCTAGATTGAAGAAGTTTGATTTACTGGAGAGTATCATCCACAGCAATATTATGGAAAACCCAATACTTGATTGGTATATCACAGTCATAGCTGATTGGTATATCATGATGATTTGCACTGAATAATCAACTAATGACAGTCATGATCTCAATAATATCCCAGTAACTACATGACATAACTCACATATCATATCCCAATAGTAACATCCCAATATTATCTAGTAATATCCTGATAATCATTGTGTATATATATATATACACATACATACATAGAGTACATGTGTATACATGATTACAGTTATCCCCATAGTAACTCATATTCCCCAATCTCAACTAGTTACTATAGTTGTACCATACTTTTCTATTGCATGTTTAGCAATGTTTACATATAATTGTACCATACTTTCCCATAATAGTATATTCCTATTTCATACTGTTCTCAAATAGTTGTTACTATAGTTGTTTCCTATATAATATACCAGTAGGAGTTGTAATTTCTATCATATAGTTATCACTATATTCCAGATCCCAGTATTATATGGTAATCCCAATATATATATATATATATATATAGAGTTATATACAGTAATTCCCAATAATGTGGGTAAAACAATGTCATAGACCAGCCACGACTGGGAATGGAAACCATACGCACCACCTATAAAGATGGTGATTTGGATGTGGGGGATGGTTTATGGCATTGTTTTACCCACATTATAGTGAATACGGGTAATGTTATATCCCATCAAATGCCCATTAAATAAGGTTTATGAAGGATATAGGTATAGTTAATTGGAATTTAAGTGGATATAACAGATATATCTACCTGGTTATTTAACAGTTCGCCATGGGAAAATCACCATGCTATTAATAGGTAAACCATCTATTTCGATTAGGGCCATCGAAAAACCATGGCGAACTGTCAGCCACTTGTTTGATCATCGAAGAGGCCACTTCGGATCGCATGGGCGCTGCGGCTGCTAAGGTGCCCCCCGGTGATTTTTTTTTTGATTTTTTTGGGCGCTTGGGGAACTAAGATAGATGGAATTTGAAGGGGATTTGAATGGGATAGTTGATGAAAATCGCTGGTGATTTTAAAAATTCAAGAGTTTGCGAACTGGAAATTGGATGAACATGGCCCATTTATAGATGATTTACCTATTTTAGAACTGGTGATATTCCATAGCTATTTTGAATTACCAAAGGGACATCCACATTGATGTGGTAAATATTGAACCCAGCAGAAACACTGTAAAATAGAGATGTATTAATCCAACAAGAGGGATATTAGTAGTACATCGCCATTCTTGTTGGCCAACACCATCCATATCACGACGAACAGAGAGGGATTTAGTAAGCAAACATTGTGATTGAAGCGAACACACACATACACACATACACACATACACACATACACACATACATATATATATATACACATATATACATACACATATACATACACATATACATATACATAGATATCTATGATATAATGGAAGTTGTAGTGAAACGGACATTTTGGAACTAGAAATTCTGCGATCAATCATGGCTTGAAATCGTCGAAACCAGCACATGGATAGACGAGATATGAGTTAACTTCTACAGAGATCGGGCTAAAACCAACAAACATCTGTTACCTTCCGGTAACTTAACGTAGCTATGGAAAATTCCCAATTCTAATAGGTAAATCATCCATAGGACTATGGGCCACTATCAATAGCAACCTCTTAAATGACTCGAGGATATACCCAGCTCAGCATGTGAAGCCGAAGGATTGAGAACGTTGCCGATCCAGCAAAGATCATACTGCAGAGGAGTTTTCCCATGAATGATATTATTATGTTTATTGATATCATAATAATTTTCATGATATCATTGCATATCATTATTCATATTGCTATTACAGTATTTTTTTAACTAGCATTATTTTTAATATTGTTAATGTTATTATAATGTCAATGGCAACTCCAGGATCCTAAATTGGAGGTACCTACCATGTATAAGGCCTATGTAAGGCCTATGTAAGGCCTATGTAAGTGAATATCCCAGCAAAATATTGCCTTATATGGTACAGTACCTACATTTTGGGATCCTGGAATTACCATTGATAATGGTTCTTATTATTATATTGTTGTTAATATTCTTCCTATCCACAACCGAATGGGTTCTGCATTGGTCTATCTCCCTATCCAGCTTTTGCAAAATTGCACAATTCAATTGCAAACAATTCAAATGATTGTACAAATATAAAATTGCAGAATTGTACCCTATTGCGACATTTTTGTCCGCAAACAAATATAATTCGCTGACGTTCAAGTATAACTGGCCTGCCTGCCTTGTCCAATTTGCCTTTCGGTAATCAAACTTGGCAATGGACAATCCCCGAACTAAATGCAGCTTTGAATGGAAAATCATCTACAAAATTAGACTTTACATGATATTTTCCATTTTCACGTTTGCTTACCAGAGCAAGTTCCTCATAATTTATAATATTTAGAATATGATCCCCATGTTTTACTCCAAAGGTGCATTCTCAAGTGCAATATATGGCCCGAGCGTTAACCTCGGGTGCCGGGGCTGGGAGCGCCATTGCTACGCCACGCCTTTGATAGGGCGGATCGCGAGCATTATTAGATCCTGACCTCTCTGGCTGTTGGTTTTCTTTTGGGCTGCCTGGTTTACCCCATCATTGAGGCCCTCCTAGCCTACAGGTGGTTGGTGCTGCAAGCGGTGTTGGCACGAGTTTTTTTGAGCCACAACAGCCTCTGCATCGGGGCGAACGGCCTAGCTTTCGGATCATATGAGCATCGGCGAACTGAAGGCCCTGGGGACTGAAGTTGCTGAGCTCAAAAAAAAATTAGCAAAGTTGCGTTTAGAGTTTTCCTCCCTCAAACGATTTTTGTTAGAGAAAGAGTCTGGTGAATCCGAAAGTTCTTTTTCTTTTGTTTCAGAACCACCCCTTGCTGGCCCACGGGCCGAACTGTCAGCTGCAGCTGCTGATTTGTTCCCACAGCCATCTTGGTGTGGGAATGTCTCCTGCAGTGGTTCGAGATCCAGCCCCGCTTCTACCATCTCTTGGGAGCGTCGTCTGGAAATTAGCCGTGAGGTTGGCAGGTTCTTGGCTCGTGCAGTAAGATCGGAGTACCGTGGCTCTTCTGGCAGAGAGAAGATCCCCTTAGCATCTCGTTTCTGGTTGGTGGCGAGAAGCTTCCACGGCGAGGTGCTCAATCCCATTCGTGTCTTCTCCAAGTGGGGCCTTGCCAAGGAACTGGTGAAACGCGGCTCTGAGTGTGGCGAATCGGTCTTCGTGGGGCTTCCATCGCAGCGTGAGATTGGGTGTGCCATTGCGGCATCTGGTCTGCGGTGGGACGGCAAGATTGAAGGATGAGTGGGGGTGAACTTGAGGAGCCTGAATCATCGCAGAACTATTACGCGGTGAACGGCTCTTCCTTCCAGCATGATTACCCTATTGGTTTTCTCCCTGCAAACGCGGAGAGCGGGCCATTAATTAAAATAGTTTTCATCACTGAGATTGGCAACAAGGTCTTGGTGTGTGTTCCTTTTTCAGCATGGCATCGTCAAGTGAGCCGCCGTGTCCTGAAAGCTACGTTGACAAAGCCAAGTGCAGTGGAAGTTTTGGCAGTTCCAGAAGAATCTCGAGAAGAGCCTCAGGAAGAAGCCAAATGCATGAAGGTGTGGGTCGGTTTGATCACCCACGAATTGGTGGGGCATGTGCATTGGGACGAAGATCCCGGAGCAGCAGAATGTGCTTTCACTCTAGATGGTGTGCAAGGGTTTGTGCCTTTTGCCAAATCTTTGGCGGATGCAGCTTCCGAGCATTTTGCGTTCCTCTCAGCAGAGAGCATGGAAGCGTCTGGTCTGGATCTCAAAAGCTGGGCTCTCGCATGGACAGGTTGGAGCTGGTAGTAGAGAATCTATCAACAACTTTCCAGACCTTTCTTTCTCCGCAATCGAGCCAGCAAGCTGCCCCAAAGTCTTCTATCCAGGCTACACCAAAGGCTCAGACGAGGAAACCAGCCTTGCGGAAGTCAGGTGTCAGTTTGGAGAACCCGTATCCAGACCTGGATCCGGGCATGGTGGAGGCGGCGTTAGCGTTTGGCATAGAGAAGTCTTCTTTGGAGCAGATGCAAGCATTGGTGAGCAAAGGTTTGAAGAAGAATGTGAAGCTTACCGACCCCTTTCTGGGGAACCTAGCCGACCCTCTTTCTGAGAGCGAAGGCGAGGTGCCAGAAGAGGAAGACGGGTCTGTGTTTGCGCCAATTTCTTCGGACCCCGTTGCAGCTGCGCTTGGGAAACTGACGGAGATTGCGGGGGTGCTTGCAGAAGACCGGAAAAAGAAGCCTTCTGTTTCAAAACTGGAAGCTGCTCTGGATTCTGCGCATGGCGGACACAGCGAAGTTGCGGTGGGGGGTGGAAAACGTTTTGCAGCAGCTTGGCGAGCTTTTCGCGTGATTCTGAGGGACGCCCCAGGGGACGTTTCTGATTTGCAGGGAGCCACAGTGACTCCGGGGCAGCCCGCGCCTATGCTGAGCAGCAGGGTGTGGGTCGAACACAGAAGTCGCATAGGGGCTTACAAGACTTCAGCCCATGCAGCCTGGACGATGTCGGGGGCTCTGGATTGCTTGTTCAAAGGCGATGTCCCAGGATGCAGAGCGCGTTTGAATCTGGGGCTTCTTCAACTGGACCAGACTGCGATCGACAAGGGGAATTGGGTGTTAGCCTCAGGCCTTTCTTTGGAACCACCTCCTCCTTTTGCATCTCTGGCTCAGCATGTGCTTCCGGATCCAGCCAGGGGAGACCTCCCTTTCTCTCGACTGTTGGACCCTCGGTGGGCAGAAATTTCAGTAGCTCATCTGCAAGACAGACAGTTATCTGACCAAAAGGAAGAATTTGGGAAAGGGCTCTACGGAAGTGACGAAGGAGAGCTTGGATCTGACCCCAAAACGAAAGGCAAAAGCAAAACCAAAGCAGAAATCTGGAGAAAGCCTTCCGCAAGGAGGGGAAGATTGAAGCGTGATTTGCATGATGTTCCTGAAGCTCCAACAGTTCCCGGTGAGAGAGCTTCGACTGTCAGCGTTGCGAGTTTTTTGGATTCATTGCCAAGAAGTGTGTTTCGTAGCAGGTGCACTTTTGACTTTTGTTTCTTTTCTTGATCTCATTCAATGCCATGGCTCTTGTGATGAAGAGCCCTCTCTCGACTCCGATGCATCTCCATGGCCTATGCCCCTGCCTTTCCCTGAGTGTTTTCGTCGTTATATTATGATGGTGTTAGCAAAGTTCCGATGTTTAAAAAGCGGATGATTTGCTTGCAAGTAGCTCTTTTGGATTGGCTTGTGCTCGGGTGCCCCAAACATGCACCCAAGGAACTGTTCCTGGGGAAGAAACTAAAGTCCAGCCAGTGGAGTGTAGACTCTCTTGCATTTGAGTTGGGATGCGAATTCGCCTAATAAGGTTACAGCTTGTATGATGGGGCGTGCGGCCTCCAAATTTGAGACTTTTGAGGATGAGGTCGCCGCTTTGCATGCTTGTGCTGAGAAGTTGCAACCCGAGAAGGGCTTTGCTTATTTTCCCTGGGTCTGTAAAGACCAAGGTTGCATGTTTTTGGATGAGGATGAGAAAGCATCTTTTCGAGCTGGAGTCCCATCGGGCCAAACCCATGAACACAACAGCTGCCAAAGAGTTGATTCCTGAGAGACTGAAATTTCCACCACCTCCTGCTTTTGACCCTACACCTCTTCTAGATGAGAAGATTGCATCGGTTTACAACAACCCCATAGCATGTGGTAGGAGCCCTGTGGATGCTGAGACTCAACCTCCAAAGGTGCAGGTCAGAGCTACTAGGGAAAATTTGGTCTCACTCTAAAAAAAACTGGACAAACTGGGAGGCTGCAAATAGTTCCTCCTAACCAAGTTCCTCATGGTTTTTTGAAAGGCCTGTTCGCTGTAGGGAAGGATGCCCTGCTTGATCGTGTGATTTTGGACGGCCGTCCTGCCAACTGTTTGGTGCAAAAGCTGGACTCTTGGACTGCTTCTATGGCTTCAGCTACATGTTTGGTGGATATATGCGTTGGTCCAGGAGAAGTGTTGTTGTGCTCTGGAGAAGATCTTCGCGACTTCTTCTACCAGTTCAAAGTCACTCCCTCTAGGACAGCACGTAACACCTTGGCCGAGCCCCTAAATTTAGCAGAAGCTGATAAAGTTTTTGGCAAACAGTTTGAGGATGGCAGGGGTTTGACCTACTGCGGGTTGAGCTCTTTAGCCATGGGCGACACCAATGCCTGCGAGTTTGCGCAAGCTAGTCACCTTGCCATGATGTTGTTTCATGAAGTTCTCTTTTCTCACGAGCTTCTGCATATGCATGGCAAAGTGCCTCGTTCCTTTTTCTGCGGAGGGATCATCATAGATGACTTGGTGCTTCTGGAGAAATGTTGAAAGAGCAGTTTGAGGCTGTCGGCAATGGCTTTGAGACGGAAGCTGACAGAAGGATTAGCCTTGCGTTAGAAGGTTACAAGCACAGAAAGCTAGAGCACAATCCTGGAAAAGAATTTCGAAATCAGAGTTGACGGTGAAGCCGGCATCGTGCGGGCCTCCAGCCTACGCTTGTGGCCTCTGATTCAGATTTGCTGTCAAATTTGCGAGATTGGATGGTGCTCGGTGAGTTTGCTGGAAGCCATTGCGGGATCATGGGTATCTATTTTTGGTTTGCGCAAGCGGTTGCTGTGTTTGATGGACATCATTTTTGAGCCGCTTAGCATCGAGGAAAAATCCTTGGTTTTGCAGCTTTCAGATGAATTCATTTCAGAGCTTTGGAGCTTGATTCTGGTAGGACCTCTGAGTGGAGTTAACCTCAGGGCTCAATACGCTTCCTATGTGACAGCCACAGATGCTTCTTTGGATTGGCTAGCTGCTGTGCGAGCTCCTTTAGAGGCTAGTCTTGTTGAGGAATTCAGCCGCAGAAGTTTGAAGAGAGGAGCTTGGGCCCAATCGTTGTCGCCGGGCAAAAGTTGGTTGGGAAGTCAAGGTGTCTTGCCAGAGGAAAATGAACTGCCATCTGGAGTGTATGACACGCATCCCCTCTGGACTTTGCTAGCTCGTGGTTTGCACTATTCTGAGATGTGGAGGTTGAAGGTTGCCGTTCCCACACATATCAATGTCCTGGAAATGAAATCTTTTCTACGAGAAGAACGCTTGATCTCCTATAAGCAAAAGCATGTGAGATGTCTAATCGGCTTAGATTCACAGGTTTGCTTAGGTGCTCTTTGCAAAGGACGAGCTGGGTCCATCACTTTGAACCGAGAAATGCGGCGCAACGTTCCTCACATTTTGGGTTCTGACCTCTACTCTTTGTTTATGTATTTTCCTTCTGCGGTGAACAGAGCTGATGACCCAACGAGACATTCCATTCCTCGAGGCCCTGACGTTGATCTTCCATTCTGGTGGTCGGGCGCGCTGCATGGAGACTTTTCTGGCCATGATGCGTGGATTAAAGGTGTTGAGGAGGATGTCTTTAAAGCTCCCTTTGACCTCACTACCTTGAAGTCTACTTTTTCTCCTTTATTTGCAACTGCTCGAGAAAGGCACGACGGAGGGCTCGTCAAAAGGCAGCTACGTGTTGAGGAGAAGTTGTCCTCGCGACCGAGCGCGAATTTGTCCTCGCGGCCAAGCACGAATTTGTCCTCGCAGCCGAGCGCGAAGTTGTCCTCGCAGCCCGAGCGCGAAGTTGTCCACGCGCACGAGCGCGAATACGATATCCTTGCGACCGAGCGCGAATGTGTCCTGGCCCATGAGGGCGTTTACAATATCTGCAGATGCTGGCACTTATCAGTTTTGCTCTGAGGAATGTCTAGAGATCTTAAACTCACTGCCCAGAAAACAGTTTTTCTCCAAGAAGGGAGTTAAGACTTTTTCCGAAGCAGGCGCTCTTGACTTGTTCTCAGGCAATTTTAGTGTGGCGAGGCAGATGGTTCGGTTTGGTTGTCCATGGGTTCTGACTTTTGAGTGGAAAAGAGGAGCGGACGAAGACCTCCTTGATGAGAAGGTGCGCATGCAGATTGTCGTGTTGCTACGAGGCGGTTGCTTCAGAACCTTGGGAGCAGCCATCATTTGCTGCTCTTTTAGTGTTGCAGTGACTCCTCCAGTGAGATCTAGTGCCTTCCCTCGTGGTTTACCTTGTTTGACTCAGAACATGGCCTCCAAGGTTGATGAGGGCAATAGCCATAGCGACTTTCTTAGTCTTCTGCTACAGATTTGTCAAGAAGGCGGCATTTTTACTGGTTTGAGAGCCCAGATTCCTCTTGGCTTTTCCGACTGGAGGGTTATGCAGCATATCGATGCCCCAAATCTGAACAGATCATGAGACTTAGCTTTTGTCGTTTTGGCACTCCTTGGAGAAAGACCACAAGATTTGGCACTGATTTGCCTTCTCTGCGGGGGCTGCGCCTTCTCTGCGGTTGCAAATATAAACGCCATGGTCTCAGGGGTTATTCAAAAAGGCATCGGAAAGCTTGGACTGCAGTTGCTGAACTTTATCCAGCTGGTGTGAGTCGCCTCATTGCTAGTGGATGTTGCATTGATGCGGGGTGGAGTTGTTTCGTCAAGTTGGACGTATCTTCCTGCTGCACCGCATTGGCGAAGCACAGAATCCTGGCCCTCGGCGTGTGGCTCCGAGAGGTGAGGATGTTCTTGAGGATGTTCCTTTGATTTCAGCAGCTACTGCAGCTCTAGAGGCGAAAGTTCTTTGCGCTTTCATCAACTGGGGTTGCAAAAGCATCGAATCGAATGTGCTGCATCACATGTTCGAGATCTCCCCGTATTTCGTGAGTCAGACAGTATGCGCTTATGGCCGAGATCTTTTTGCAGCTTGAGGAGCCTTGAGCAACTTTAGACATTTGCTTCTTGCTGTTCAAAAATGGAAACCCCTTAGTAGGTCTTTTATGAAAGAAGCTTGGGATTTAGTGTCACGGTGGGAGATTTCCGAGCCCACGCACCACAGACCACCCGTTCCAGAAGGTTTAGTTTTTGCCATGTGTGTACTTGCTTGGCAGCTTAACTGGTTTAGCTGGGTGGGATCCACTTTGCTCTCTTTCTATGGTGCTGGACGCATTGGTGAAGTTCTACGCTGCTCCAGGGGTGATTTGCTTTTGCCCTCGGATACGTGTGGTGAGATGACCCATACTGCTTTTCTGAAATTTCGCCGTTTCAAATCTCTGGGACGTCAACCTTCAAAGATACAGCATATGAAAGTTCAAGATGTTCAAGCTGTCAGAGTTCTGGAGATTATATATAGAGACCTTGCTTCAGAAGCTATGCTTTATGGTGCCAGTCCAGCCGTTTTTAGACGACGCTGGGATGATTTACTGCATTTGCTAGGTGTTGAACTACCACATATACGGCTGACACCTGGAGTGTTGAGGGGAGGCTCGGCAGTGCTTCTCTGGGAAATGCGATTGAGGCAGCAATCTACCCTAGAGAGTTATTTGCAAGAAACTGGTGCTATCGGCATTCTTCGTGACCTTCCCCGTGATGTTCGTTCTAGACTTTCCACCCTCAAAGAGATGTTTCGTTTCCTCCGTTTTGGATCTCCGGGAGCTCCTTGAGCAAATGCTGACTAGTACTAACTGGCCATTCAGCTTTCCTGGCTCGTTTCTCTTGCAGGTGGATACGGCAGAAGTTTTTCCAGCAAGGAGAGGCTTAGTTTTATGGTGACAGCTGCAACTCCATTCTTTGCTGCATGGGATGTCGCCATTTTCCTGCACCACCTCTACAGTCTGCAAGGTTGAGAAAACAGATCCAAATGCACGACTGCAGGAATCAAACATGATCCCCATGTTTTACTCCAAAGGTGCATTCTCAAGTGCACCCTCCTCTCCTCCCTGCATAGCACACGCTGGCTTCTGGATACGGCAGAAGTTTTTCCAGCAAGGAGAGGCTTAGTTTTATGGTGACCGCTGCAACTCTATTCTTTGCTGCATGGGATGTCACCATTTTCCTGCGCCACCTCTACAGTCTGCAAGGTTGAGAAAACAGATCCAAATGCACGACCGCAGGAATCAAACACACACACACACATATATATAATATAATATATACATAATATATATATAATATAATATAATATATATAATATATATATAATATATATATAATATATATATAATATAATATATATAATATATATATATATTATATATGTACATGATAATAAATAATGATAACAATAAAATAGAATAATAAGAAAATTATATGTATTCACACACACATATATATATATACACATATATATATATACATGCACCCCCCCCAAGACCTACATTTTGTGTATTAGATATGTCCTTGAATGCCTTGTCTTTCTTCTTATCTTCTCACCGATTGTAGCACTGCATCAGGAAAGTATTTTGGGCGCATGCGCCTGGACACATCCTGCCCACATATGTAGCTGCAGCTAGCGCTGTAACACCTACATTTGACATATTTATTTCAGTATATTTACACAATGTTTTCTTTTTTTATGTGTTGATTCAGACATTTTGAATTTTGAATATACCAGCACGATTTTTTTTAAAAATCTATGTTCTGATTCTTGCAAGTCTGCTTTTTCAATATCTTCTACGACATCTGGTATTTTCACATAACCTTTAGGATTTGCAGCTGTATGATTCGGGGAATAGATGGATTGAAATTGTGTTATCTGTTTTTACAACGGAGTATAGCATATTATCTTTATATTTTTTGATGAATACTACCACTTTTTGTAAGGTAGTTTTTTTTTTAAAATACTGACTGCTGGTGGAATTGTTACTCAATTTTCTGTAGCAATTTGAAAGGTTTTAGCTTCTACCAAAGCTGAGCTTTGTGCAAGATTAGATGATATAGTCAGTGCATCTTGAGATTTTACATTTTTATTTACATAAGATTTTGCAGATAATGAAGGTGTATATAAAAAGTACAATAGATATGTATAAGACTGATCTCCAGTTATATTTTTTATTGTTTTTATCTACCTTTTTAACCCTCCTGCAATTTCATAACATTCCATGAAGCTTTGCATAGTAAATTGACAATAATCAATCATATTCTCATTTGATGTTAACTGTCTTTTTTTGTTCTTGTGAATCTACGTTATTTTCATTATTTTTTTCTTCCGCATCTACAATCTTTTTTGTAGAAGAGTTGATATTTATTTGCTGTAATAGTTCATTTTTAAAGTATGTATAATGTAGATGATCTTGTAATCTCATTGCTTCAAACCCAGGAGTGCTTGAGTTAGAATATTATTTGTTAAACATAAATGATTTTGATGGTAATAACTAGTAGGTTAAAAAATCTAGATCAGTTTTTAGCATGTTTGTCATGATATAAAATTTCTTACTTTTTTTTTATAGTTCTTAATTTTGTGATATGTTTTTAGGTATTAAAGGAGTTTCTAGCATTGGGTGAATATGTATTTTTACTTCGAAAGATCCTCTATTTTATTGGTTCTGTCAGCCCTATATTCTGAGGATCTAGTTTCAAGTTAACCAGCTTTTTCTCAAATCTTGAATATGTTTTTTTTTCAGAACGATTTGCCTGTATTTTTTTAATGATAATATTCCACCATTTTGTGATGTCAACTTTGATAGCATTTCAGGTTTTTATAGTTTATTATTTTTTCCTCAATATAAATTGCAAACATGTTTTTTTTTTAAGTGTGGTGGCACAGGTACCGCGCCAGTGAGCTGCACTGCTCCTATTTTTCTTGAGCCATGAAAGTAGCGCCAAGGGAAATGTGTGTCATCCTTGGCAGGGAAGGCCATGCTGCACAAGACTGGTTTCCTATGCAGAGGCCATGCTAATCTTCTCAACTCCAAAAAGAAAACTGGTTACACTTCTCGATTTCAAGTGTAAGACGACTAGATCATCCACACTCCCCCTTGCTGTTCCACAGCAATCAAGAAAGTGCCAAGTCGGCCTATGGCCAAAAGATTCTATTGGCTGCTTCGAGCCATTCCAAAAAGAGAGCTAAGAGCGGCTCACATGTCAGCGAACTCATCCTCCGGGCCAACAACGTGATCGGCTAGTTGGTCGGTCACCACGGAGTAGCCATCATCGCTGGTTTCCTCCTCGGACTCAACCGCCTCCTCGTTGTACTGATCGTCATCAGTTCCCCCTTCCACAGGAGTTCCATGAAGAAAGTCCCAGAGCATCACATCGCTGACTTCAGAGCGGTTTGACCGCAAGTATCGGGTTCTGCGGCCTGTTGGGCCCTCTCGAGGACGTCCAGGATGAAGGTCTGGAGGAAGTGGTGCCTGCAAGGCCCGAAGTGTGGCTTCCCGGACCGATTCTCCTTCACGGACACTCAGCGTTGGCCCATCATTCCACCGATTCACAGGGGCTAGCGTTCGTTGGTAAACCTGAGTCCCTGGAGGGAAGACAGTGCGCCTCAATAAGTTCCTTGTAGGCCCCCACATCGCTGAAGAGCTCGAGGATTCATCCAAAGAGCCAGTCGACCTCACAACCGGAGCCGCTGAAGATGCCGAAGGTGCAGACGAAGGTGGACCACTGTAGCCACCAGAGCCAGCCACAGACCAGCTTCCCAAAGAGCTCGTCTCACGTGAGACCTGTCCAGTCCCCATCGATGCAAAAGCTGCTGCACCTCGTCCGATGGCATCAACTTGGGCTCTTCTTCCACTTCCAGAAGACCTTCCGATTTGCCTCGGCATGTTCCATGCCCGCTCGTTTTCAGGCGTCCACACCACCGTATCAGGTTGTATGCGGGGCACACCAGACGAATTTCGCCCGTTTTGAGCACTTTCTCGAAGGCGAAAGAAAGACCACCCTCTCCATTGACCCGTCACCGGGGGCTGCGGCGGCACTTGGCCATGGAACCACTGAGAGCTCTGCAAGTCATCATTTGCGGCATACGGCGGCTGGCTAAACTCCGGAGACTCCCATGGCGTTGGCCCAAGCGGTGGTGCCCGAACAGCACACAAGCGCGGAACAACCGGGGAGCCCTCGGGGCTACAGTAGGATGAAGTGGGTTCATGGTCCCTCACTTCATGTTGCAATGCAGGTTCATTTTCCCTTGCATCGCCTTTGACTGGCCTGGGTTCATGTTCCCTCAGACCCTTTCTTTTTTCGACAGCCTTCTCTGTGGGTGTTTATTCCCGCAGGTCTGCCGTGGGGCGCCCAATGGCCTTTGGCCCGGCTTTTTTGGGATCTTTTTCACCTCCTATCCATGCTGCCAAGCCACAGGTGAAGTGACCGGCTTCGTCAGCAGGTCTGAGGCCAGCTCGCTGCCAGGAAGATGCCGCGCCTTCCAAAGACCCCATTGAAGACGTTCACGGAGAACATAGCTTCGAAGGCGAAGATGTCGGGTGCGCCAAGGCCCATCAGGAGCCTCCAGGAGCTTCAAGCCCGACATGCTGTCCCCATACAAAACTCGTTCACCTTTTTCACACAGTTGGTTGTTCTCCAAGATCTCCACTATTGATGAAATTGATTCACCAAGCACCAAACCATCACAGTAGCCCAAAAGCCCAGACTCCGTTGTACTGAGCACACAAAAAGGCTGTTGCCGCGAGTCCCATTGCACCGGAGAACCCCCATAGACCGCCACCAAGCCTTGATGACCACGTTGGCACTGAGCTCCCATAGCCGCATCGCTGAAGACCTCCAAGGTGAGCATGTTGCGCTGGAAGGCCAAACTACCCCCAGAGCCAAAACCACCTTCAGGCCAAGCTCATGTCGGCTGTTGCACTCAGATACCCCAGAGTGTGACAGATCAAAGAAAGCACCCGTCGAGGACATTTGGTAACATGCCTGCCCAACCATGATGTTGCAAAGCTCAAGTCCGGCCTCGATCTACAAGCGGCTCAAAGAAGCTCTC